CTGTTTTCATGATAGATTACTCTTAAAGTGTTGGATGGATTGACTAACCAACGATTTAAAAATCAGGAGTCATTTTGAGCCTTTTAATTGACTGGCTTAAATCCAAAACCAGAGTCAGGGTTTTGCAACCGTTTCTGGCCAGCAACCCTCTCTTAAGTTCAGCAATAAGGGAGTTTTCAAGTTATGTGAATTTGAGTATGGTGCAGTGTTGTATACTATTTCTTAATGGATTATATAGAAGTTACAAAATACTTGACTTAATTGCATTGACTTGCGTCACAATATATTTTAGCAACTATGCAAGAGGAAACTGGAGTTAAGTTATCGTAAACTTTAATCAAGTTTAATATAAAAATCATCGCATACTGAATGTTATTGGCATCTTGAATAACACAGTGTATTGTATCAGTATACATTTGTTACATCTCCGAAACTCTGCGTACAGGGTCGCAGGGGGCTGGAGCCAATCCCAGCTTACATCGGGCGAAAGGCGGGGTACAACCGGGACAGGTCGCCAGTCCATCGTAGGGCCATCAATGCCTTTTAAATACGGCAGTGTTTATTTACACTTTGAAGCTGATTGGGTAACACACCCACCAAATTAGAGAAAAAGTACATCAGAGACTGTTGCACAGAGTTTCACATTGTTTCTAGGAAACATGTCGTTCAACTTTGAAACTGGCTCAGACTGTTATTTCTCACTTAAACCAGCCTCTTCCAATTGGACAAAACACACTAAATACAATCATTTTAGATGATTATACATAACACAATCTCTCACACACAGACACACACCGAAGCAGCATTGAGTATTCTGATGAACATTCACTGGTCTCTGCTCTATCACTCTCACTACAATTCTACATAATAGAGGCCAGGTCATTCATTAGCCTCCTTTAAAGTGTTGATCGGAGGAATAAGGGGAAGTGTGAGAGAGTAAGAGTCAGAATGGGGGAGAGAGAGAGAGAGAGAGAGAGAAACAGCCTGTCTCAGTGTTAGAACTGATAGGCCACTAAAGCCTTTTTATGCAACTGTGATTTAACGCCAAGCCATTCTTTCACTGCTGGTAGTTAAGAGGGAAATAAAGCCTGCTTAATCTTCTACTTAATCTTCCACTCGCAACCTTCTACACATCAAAACACACTCACACAAAACCATGTCGTGCTTTGGATGACATTTTTATTGCATGTTTGATATGTATATGCCCATTCTTTTTTTCATTATGCCATAAATGTTTCATTCTTTTTGTTCTTTCCAATCTTCTACACCTCTCTGTCTTTGAGTAGGTCTATTACAGATGTTTTTTCTCTTGTCTCCTCTATTCTGTTTTTCCTTCTGTCTTCCTCTTTGGTCTTAGGAATACTTACACAACTTTTTTGCAACCGTTTAAAGGATAATACAGTGTTTTCTCCACATATTTCTGTTGGTACAAGCACAAGTAAACCCTGAAATTATTTGCTATAAACCACATTCATTCATTTGTTCATTATTTATCTCTTTCTTTTTGTTTGACAAAAGTCTTTCTTTTGCATACTTCACATGACCATTTGGGTTTAGTAATTATATTTATGTGCTGACAGAATAGTACTGTTAATGAAATAGTGTTTGGACCACTAGCGTAAGTTAGTAACAACGGGCCCCAGTGCAGGCTGTGATGATGGGCCCTTGGCTCCACAGTTGCAAAGCACACGTGCACACACACTGTTCGTGTCTAGAAGGGAACCCTATATTGGCAAATGTGTGTGGCCTTGTTTCCTTATTGTGCACACTTCGACAACTGATAAGATTACAGTCCCCTCCAAAAGTATTGGAACGGTAAGGCAAATTCCTTTGTTTTTGTTGTTCACTGAAGACATTTGGGTTTAAGATCAAAAGATGAGTCTGAGACAAGAGTTCAGAATTTCAGCTCTCATTTCATGGTATTCACATCTAGATGTGTTAAACAACTCAGCAATCACGACGCAGCAATCTAAAGTAATGGATTTTAGAGTCGCACTGTGTCACCTAGACTATTGTATTTGCAAAGTACAGAAGTCAAAGAGAAAGTTATAAGTTTCTGTACAATAACCTCATGGCAACCACATTCCTCTTCGGCAAAGAGAGGCAAGAGATTATGGTAAATAAGAAGCTTAAAAACAACACCATGTCCTGAAAACAGGCCAGCTACGGTGCCCATTTGGTTTAATATGACAAGCACATCCACAATGCTCAGCCTTTAAAACAGCGGCACAGCAGCCACACCAAATCAAAAAGCACCTGTACTCATCTATTTGAATGGCCTCCGACGAGCCTTGATTTGAGCAAAATCTTTGACAATGTCCTCAGTAAAAAATCCTAAACAATGTTATTTGGGAGCTTTGCAACCCTCTCCTCCTGTTCTTTTCTCTCCTGTCTCTTCTTGAAACAACTTTTATGTTTGAATGTCATGACTGCTAGCTTGTACATATGCTTACTACTTACAGATTTTGCATTTCACCCAGTTTCACTTAGCTAGTCTTGTCGTCTTGTCACATGATCAAGTAGAAACTTAAGATTGGGCAGCCGTACTCATATTACCCAGCAATCACCATTGCATATGTAGCTTTGTTCTATGTTTGTGACAGGAATATAGCCTACCAAAGAAAATAAGACAATATTCATTTGTGGAATAAGTTTTTTTTATACTTTGCTTGCTACAGATTTTTGTGGGTAAAACTACTGACTGACACCATGGCAAAGGGGGATATGCACATTTGAGGGTATATATAGGCCTACCACGTGATTTCATTGGTGATACAGTGATAGCAGGTGATCTAGGAGTCAACTGTTGTTTGATGAATGAAGTTGCATTTTTACGACAAAGTCCTGCTCGTAACCTGGTGGGGCACACTCCCGTCACAGGCCCCTGTACAGTACGGGCCCTAGTGCAGCTACACTCTCTGCACTGTCTATACCTACGCCCCTGGTTGGACTTATTATTTGACGATGTTAAGTTCATTTTAGACATTTGTAATGTTTTCTTTAAAGTTGCACTAATCAATATTTTTATATTAACAATGGATCGAATGACTTGTAATGTGAAAGGTGCCACTAATCAACCAACACTGCATTTCCCCTAAGCTTTTCACCTCAGCTTGTTACGTCTTTCAGCTCACTGTTTTAGTTGCATAGCCTGTGACTTTATAGGTTTGTTCACTCTCAGCGCTCTGATCAGTGCTGGTTTTTTACCAGCTGTTTTTAGCCTAAAAAGCTCTGATAAAACCCACTTGTACACTACCTGCCCAAGACAAATGGCAGACAGAATAAATAACAGTTGAGTCATCTGGTTGAGACCAAAACAAAAGTGAAAGGGGAGTGAATATTGGACTTGCATTCAACAGGTGGACCCAAACACAACTCCTAATAAATGCTTATGTTGCTCCGTGCTGGATGACTTAAAAGGCAACTGTTTGCTAAAAAGTTTGCCATATTACAATAGAAGATGGTTGGTAATGTGGAAATGTACAGCTTATTGTGACACAGTAAAGCCAAATAAACTTTTGATTGGTTTGTTAACCTTATTTCGCTGTACCAGTACGTACCAGCAAGTGTTTTCAAAGTGGAGGTTGCGCTAGCTTCTGTTAATCACCAGACACACACATGGAAAAAATACATACTTACAAACATACTGTCTTATAAACTTTCTAGTATTGCTGTTAGTCAATCACAGCAGGTGCTTTCACGCTGGCTTTGCCATCATAAACAGTATTTTTAACAACTATGACAATCTTATAAATATTATCCAGACGTCGACATTAATACATGAGTTGTACCCATAAAATATAATGCTGCATTGCATGAAAAAAACATTTTGCTCATATAGTTTCTCCACCACCACTATACTGTAAAAAAAGTCGACAAACACACACATACTGGTTTCCAGCTTAATGGCCTCAGGGCCATAGTTACCCCAAGAGAATTTTGGTATGCATCACTTTCCATTTAGTCTTCCGAACAGAGTGTGTGTGTGTGTGTGTGTCTGTCTGTCTGTAAGAGATAATGAGGCCGTGTGTGTTTCACTCGGCTAACCCCTGGACTTAACCATCAACTCCTGCGAACTGGCAGCTAAAGTGGAAAACTGGGAGCACATTTTCTAACTGTGACACATTGCTGGACTCTGTTTTCAGCTCAACCCCCCCCCCCCAAGTTGTTCCAAGTTGTTCCTCAAACTTCAACAATGACAAGCCTATAATGCCAGGAGGACTTACTGCTGCTTGGCTGCCATGTGTCTCTTTATTGGAGGTTGTCAGGATGGGACTCAGACAGTGACATGATTTAAGAGAGGAGGAGGAATTGCTTTTAACAATATATGACCAACAGACTGTGAAAACATTGGAAATGAAGCACTTAGTGGCTGCCTTTTTCCAAGTTGCCATTATAAAGAAACATAGTTTGATGAGTTGGTTATTGCAAGTCATGCAAAAACACAAACTCCTTCGCTAATACAATATGAAATCAAAACAAACAAAAATGTCCTCACACCTCAATCATTTTGTTTCCTTATCTTCTGTGCATCAGTAAGTTACGCAGAATAATTACAGTATCATGTGTTGGACACCGAGCAACTGCACTCAAGCAGGTTGGCCTGCTCAAGGACACCTCATTACTGTTAATGACAGAGGGGCTCTTTCATTTACCCCATAGAAAAATGGAGTTTGTTGGGTTGCACCTGTCCTGGTTAATAAGCCAATAAAGTTTCAAACAGAGCACCCACTGGCAAGGAATAGAGAAAACAAAATCTTTACACCTGTCTGTCTCAAGTGTTAGGTCAGTCCAAACGTCAGTCAAAAACCTTAATGCTTATTGGGGAATTAACTGGGAGCTTCCTGTTTCAGACAGACATACTGTGAGAATTTCCAGTGCTTGGCATTTGTGTCTAAATCCAGCTGGACCCAATAATCACAGGGTCAGGCCAGACATTTCAGAGGTATGTCATGGCTTTAAAGGTGAAAGCTTCAAAACAGGCCTATTATCTGTCTTACCTTCTTCTTGGACTTGAAGACATTGCAGCGGAAAACATTACTCTGTCCATCTCTGGCTATGTAGCTGAAAATCTTCAGATCCTGGGAGTCATGAGACACATAGAATATCCTGAAAGATAGAATAAAATAGGTCAGAAATGGAAAGAAAATATGGATATGATGCAAAACAGAATCAGAGCCTGGCAGCATTTCTAAATGTATCTTAAGACGCAAAATAGGCACCCAGCCTGTTTCTCTGGGGTTTCAATGTGACAAAAATAAACACTATATTAAGTTTGTTTAAATCCGAAGGCAAGAGACCAAATTTTAGCTCTCAAGTTCAAAATAAAGGGGTAAAGAAAGTTGGGGTCGAGTTCAGGTGCTCACAGATTTCTCCATTTTTTTTGTGACTTTGAGACAGGAAGTTCGGTGACACATATTGAGGCAGGTAAACTTTAATTCAAAGTAAAAAAATATATATTATTACCGTGACAACAATGACACATTCCAGAGTGAGGAGGAGACGGAGGAGGTAATACTATTACAACAACAAAAATCATGGGTGGAAAATGATGCAGGGAAAACCAAGTTTGAGACCAAAATAGAGTTCTTGTGGTAGGGAGAGATTGTGTGCAACCGACAGTGAAGAGATGTACAATAACCTGCAGAGCAGGTAAATAGGAAGAAATAAGTTTGGGAGCAAAAGGAGAGCAAAAGAGATAGTACACAATAACCTGCAGGTGGGAGAACATTGTATGATTTAAGCTCTACACTGGATCTAATTTATGATGACAAAAAAACACTGCTGGAGAGATAAAGCATTGCGGAAGATAACATGGTTACAAGACTGAAACCAAGAAGCTGGAAATTGTTATTCGCAGAGTCAAGACAGGATGTTTGAACATTTTGCAGATGCGTTCAACATAAAGAAATCAGAATCGGGTTTATTGCCAGGTACATTTTCACATTCGAGGAATTTGGCTTGGTGTGAATTGGTGCTTACAGTACACATAAAACATAAATAGTAATATAAATATATAAAAGTAAGGAGATCAAAAAAATTTAGTAAAGTATACAAAAAATATAAAAAATACAATAAAACTATAATACAATTTCAATCTGGGTGGCATTATGTTCCTGAAAAACATATATATCAATGCCAGTTTGTTTTCATTGTGGTTTAAAAATGTGTGTCATCTTGGACAGTATGATCATTAAGATCTTTAAGACATTCATAGTCGTGTAAATAGCCTCATGTATCTTATCTGTTTTATTACCAGGCAGCACTGTCATCACATCTACTAACCCCCAGCATCATTCCAAATGATAATGTTCTGCTTTACTAATCCAAATTTTCCACTTGTCCCACTGCCAAAATTTAACATTCATGATGATGATCACACTACTTAACACATTATCCTTGTATCCCTGTATAATCAAGTTATAATTAGAAAACTAGACATGAAAAACAAACATATTCATTCATGATTACAAAATTTACCAGTATACTGGAAGTCTTCATTAGACCGTGATGAGCAACTGCACCAGTATGAAGACTGTACCACCATTTTGTTGTCTCAAATTATTGTGGTTCTTCTGCAATGATTTGTTGGTTCGGTAACTCTCACTTTGGTTGACATAATAGGCCGGGAAAGATTATTAAACTTTGTCAAAAGACCATTGGTGCCAACTTGATCTTGTGCATGTTAGAGCCACGCAGAGTATCTACGACAAAGTGCTATATTAATGTAATCCTTTATTATTAAATGTCTTTTTTGCTATTTTTATAAGCTTGGTAAAGAATTTCAAGACTTGAAAGCTTTTACAAACATCATGAATGACTGCACTCAATATCACTACTTTGCAGAGAACTATTCTGATTAAAATCTTTAACAAAATGGATAAACTAATACAGTTTCTGGTCAAGGGTACTGTAAAACATACGCACAGAATCTTGAAAAAGCAAAAAGGTGGCTCTTTGATGCAAAATTTTTCATCATAGCAAATAAATTAAATGAGCAAACCCATAGAGCAAAGTAGCCTAATCTATGCTTACATGTTTTGGGTGTGCCCTGAAAACCTTTAATCGAGCACGTTACCTCATCACCATTAAGGATGTACGTCCTTTTGAGTTTTCAATATTGTTCAAAATAAAGTGCTGCAATGTATGGCTGGATTTTGAAACTTAATGAGTGAATAAAACTCTGTTAACTTGAAATATCAACTGGTTGAAAGAAGTACCAGAAACCTCAGGCAGAACAGCTTCTTAATTGGCCAATTAGTGCCATAATTAAAGGGCCCGGTGGTATATTTGGGGTAATTTATCACAGTGACACAATGGACATCCAGGCAAGAGCAGAAATTAGGAGACGATTATGCAAATTACCCTGTTGTCTCTGTTCAAATGTGTGACTGGGTGTGTTTCTGTGCACATTAGTTTTGTACATACTGCATATTTGTGTGAATGTGTATGTGTTATGCACTAGAAATCAGGGGTCTCATCTATACACTCAGTGACATTTCTGTGGTATTTGCATTGGCCTTTTCTCTGGGTGCCAGACTAGCTAAGGTCTTGTGGTATGGATGGTGTCTTTGTCAACCCTGCTTAGCAGACTGTCAAAATACCAGATGCAGCTATCTACAGTGACTCATGCGAGCAGACACACACACACACAACTGGAGAGTTTCAGTCCGATTTCATATCCAGTGTGCTACTGCAAAAATTTAAGAAGAGTTTTACTTTATACAGCTTGTTAAAAGAAACGTACAATTTATTACTACTTGGATTTTATTTTTAGACGTTTTTTTTAAAATCAATTATGATAGTGATAGTGCGTGAAAGTGTAGGGGGAAAAAAATCGATACAGCATAGTATCGTGATATTTGCCATGGCAATACTGTATCGATACACGAATGCCAGGTATTGATATTTTAGTATACAAATTGCAGATGGGAGTTTTAACTTTTTGGTACTAGAATAATAAAATCTATTGCTTTTTTTAGTCCACTAGAAAACTTAATAGGACCATATAGAGGACTGAAAAAGTGATATGAACAAACAGAGAAATTAATCTTTTTAGATAAACAGATGTTGACAAAGTTTGACTTTAGGGACCTAAGTGGAAGTTGGAAAACGGTAATAAATTGCAATATATCTCAATATATTTAAAATCGCAATAAAATCGAATCGTAACATAAATATCGTGATAAAATCGTATCGTAGGGCCTTTGGTGATTCCCACCCTTACTAAAGTGTGCAAGCCAACAGCAGTGTTCATTCATTCAAAAGCAGCAGTGTGCTTTTTCGCGTCACCTCCGCTGCTACAACTCCATCCAAGGAGAAATACTGAACAGTTTACATAAATTAGCTAGCACTTTATTTGGAGGTAAAACACAGAGGGAATGCACCTGTAATGTCACTAATAATCCCTCAATGCACAGGAAAACTGTGGCTGTGCATAACTACTGCAAAAGTACAATGACAGATGAAACCAGGAGATCAGCCTGTAAACTGTGAGAGATTTTTGTAGCGCAATTTTGGTAATATTTGTCTTCCAAATTAGTTTGACTAACCTGTTGCTTTGTTTTCAGCCTGTCCGATTGTCCGACTGCTTGTGTTTCTTGCCCCACTGAACCTCTTTTTATCTCTGATGCTGTGCTCCTACACCTGATGGGCCCAATGACCGGAAAATTAAACTCAAGTTGTAATAAACTTTAGTTTTCCTTTAGGAGATGTTATAACATGTATTTGATCCATTCAGTGTTATTAACATTTTGGTAAGATCAGCAAACCTTACCATATTTTGTCAACATGTTCAGCTTCACAATAAAGAAACTAACAGTGCCCATTGGGGATGGGCAACGATTTTTCAAATAATCAAATAGTTTATTCAACTATCGTATTGTCTTAAAAAATATACTTTCCTTTGTTTTAACAGAAGCCTGATAGTAACACGTCACTACCAGGCAGGCTTCAGTTTGCAGCACTGTGAGATGGGCTAGCTGCTCAGGTTGCAGCCTGAGAGTTTTGTTCGAAGAATGGTCGAAAAGGCCCATGTGACCATCAAATAGTATTTTTGCTTGAAATGCCCATCCATAATAAAAAGCTTACTGTGAAGCACATGCTGCCGTGAGTTAGAATCAACCGTAGCTTTACGCATCTCCATTTGATTACCACAGCAAACTTTGCAGCAAAAAGGCAACATTATGCACAAGGGATTACCGTGGAACGAAAAATTCAGACGACGTGGGTAGCTGCGACTTAATGAGGGTAGCAGAAACATCTCTGTATGTGTCTATGCCAACAAACACACTGGACTAACAGGGTCTCTATAATCAAGCCATGCTAAACACTAGAAGAAAACTGACCACTCCCATCAGGCTGCACTTTGCAGAAACATTTAAGTTGTCTCCCCTTTCAACTCTTTCTTTGCCCTCCCGTCACCCCATGAACCCCAGTCACGGTGATAAAAATCCATGTCCCAACAGATTTCTTTTTTACGAATTCTAAAGCAGGGGAAAAGGTCTCATGTTCTGCCAAATGTTGCCTAAAGAGAACTGAATCTTTGCTGCCAGACAAGTGAAGCTCTGCCAAGAGTGAGTAAAAGTGAGCTTAGCTGACAAATCCCCAAACAGCACAGAGATGACAGCTCAGATACATCTCTATAAAGTGACAGTGACAAGAACCGCAGCCAAACATCCAGGTGAAGACTCGTCAGTTAGATCAGATCTCGGAGTAATAGACGCAGGGTCGACATGAAAGCCATCAAAGATGATTTATGGGTAAATAAATCAGCGGGAGAACTTCTTATGTTGTATTTCAAGGGGGTGGCTTCTCATGTTTAAAGTTAAAAAGAATCAAGACCATAGCACTGCAACTTAGCAGTGGGTCCATTACAGGGGAACAAGAAAAAAAACTGTTTATAGCAGCAGAAGATATTTCATTTTTCAATCCTTCAAAGCCAGTTAATAAAAATGAGCAATACAAGTACGTTGATTAAAATGCAGATATTGTAGCTAAAACACAGTTAAAAAAGGAAAGGTATATACATGAGGTCACTAACAGGCGGACCGCGGTCCGGATCCAGACCCAGCGGCTGTATTGTCTGGACCCGGACGTACAGCCGATCT